CTCTGAAATACAATTTTGTGACACTTCTCTAAGTTAGGAGTGTGTTGATGAATTCTAAAAATCTTCCATCTGTTTGGTCTGTTGGGAATTTCTTTATTAAGGAAGACTGAAAATAAAAAAAGAAATAATGGAATTTAAGAATGAACTCTGATAAATTTCAGAGAGAAAGGAGAGAAGCAACCATTCATTTTTCTGGGAGAAGCAACCATTCATTTTGCTTCTCCTCCTGCATAGTGGGTTGCCAAAACCACCCCACCCCCTCCCCTCCCTCCTTCTTGATGGCTAAAAGAAGAAGGGGACTCTCTTCTTCTTTCCAATTTTCTCTCTCCCCTTATGTACTCACTGAGTTTCAGGCAGAGAGAGGTGTGAGTGTGAGGCAGCTTATCCTCAGTGATACTTTGGCCTCTGAGATTTGAATTTTCTGCAACTATTTTAAATAAGAGAGTTTTGTTTTATAATGCAACAATTAGAATGGTAAATTCAGGGAGGAGAGCCAGAGGCAAGTGATGAGGGTTGTGATCTGGTTTTATGATTTTGGACTTCCACATGTTGCCAAAAAAGGTTTATAAGGGGAAGGCAAATAATAAACAACCAGTAGGTGTGGTTGCAATTCCCCCTTAGCCCTTAGGAACACAACATTGGGACAACACTCAACACTTCTACCCAGACCTCTCCACCTTTGGTCTCTGACATGGCAATTAACACCACTCCAGAAGAGAGATAGGATCTGCGGCTATGTCTACAGACACTGACATTGGAGGCTTCACCTTCACTTTGTCAAGGTAGGTTTGGGATCCATGCCAAAAGTTGTTGAAGTTTATTGCATCTGGGCCTCCTTTGTAAAAACTCCACATCCATCTCTGAAAAAAATTTCCAAAAGAGAAACTTATCAATATCACAGATTTTAGCACTTGTGTGAACTGAAATGGTAACTTTGAGCAATCATTTCATAGCGATAACATTCTACTAATATGGATTAGAGGTGCATATCAAATTCATCAAACAATTAATTGATAATACTGAAGGTGTGCATTAATTTTGTTTTATTTAGTGGTTGACATGTTCTGTTATTTTTATGGAATTAATGGCAGATCAATCATAAAAATCTCTTAATAATGGATATATATCTATACTGAATTAGCAATTACTACAATAAACTTTTAGCAAAAACTTGATGACATATGAGTTTTCAATTGTTGTCCAAATATATAAAGAAACAATTTGTTATCCCACAAACCAAGACATTCCTTTTAAATGTTAAATTAACTGTAGTGTACAAGTTCATTGTTTCATCTACTGTGATGGAAGATGTTCATTAAAAACAAAATTTTGCAGATTCATCACGGTGCCTCTCTTAACTCAGGTGTTTAAATGGGTACCAGAGAATTTAATGCAGCGAGGTGACCCTGTGATGAACTACAATCCAGGGGGAAAGAAAGACCCATACTTGCTTCATGCTACAGAAACTGCAGTTAAGTGCTTGGCTGATGGGCCACTTGGCCCATAAACAGACTTTTACATGTATCGTACCAGTTCATTTAGAAGATCTTGTGTGAGAAACTGGTCTTGGTGTAGGGTGGTATTAATAAGCATCGGTATGCCAAGTTTATGAGTTTGACTTTCCATTGCTGCTTGAACCCAGAAAGCCCGAATAACTGATTCCTTTGTAGTTCTGTAGGTGTCATAGGGAGCTAAAATTCAAATGGAAATAAAAAAAACCTGTTAACACTCATTCTTTTATTGTTTTATGACTTCTCACTTCATTTAACCCCTTCACTTCCAGATCTCATTCATTTGTAATTCTCCATACTGTCTCCCACACAGTGCGTATTATGTTAGTTTGGAGAATCTGGTATTGGATCAACTAATAATCTTTAACAATGGTTCACATTTTTCCTCATTCTCATCAGTTGTCTGCTTGAATTTGTATTAATATTGTAGGGAGAAATTATGTCTTGGTCACTCATGGGAGAGGATTAACTTGACACTTGACTAATTTTCAGAGTAATTATATGTGATGGACTGAGGGTATAGGGCTCGACACTAACGGTAGCAAACTAGCTACAGAAGAAATACAGTTTTAGCTAGTGGTTTTCAAATTCCACTTGCCAGTTTGGCTAGTAAACAAACTGAAATTGTCATCACACCTAAGTTGTCATGAGCAACTTGGCTAGAAAGTTGAAAAGTTAGTTAGCTCTGGGGTAGTTAATTTATCTGCAATATAGGTTTCAGTGTTTGTCAAGTTGCACTTGTATGTGTTGTTTGCTGCTGACTACTTGCCATGAAACCAGGTTGGTTTATTTAAGGGCATTCACTGTACATGTGGAATCTTAAAGGATGCAGTAACACATCAGATGACCATTGGTTCTCTTTCTGTTTATGTTTTGCTTACATGAATACCTTCTTTGCTAGGAGTTATTAGAACCTATATTTCAGTTTGAAGGATTGTTTTTGGGCCACATCTTACAATTATTCATGCAAAAAAAAAAAGAAAAGAAAACTAAGGTAACAAGCGAATTTAACTAACTATCAGTGGTTAAAAATTCACTTTCTTACACAACACAGTAGCTCCCTTAACCTTAGATACACTTACACACTATGATACCCAGACAAGGTCCATATGGTGCATTCTCCTGCTGTAAGATGCTCTGATAATTCAACTGATTCTGAATGTCCTGAAGCGATGGATCGCACTGATAAGATGGATGACTATGGTACCAACCAACAAGGACAAGTCCCCGTTGTGCAATTGCATTCCTCACCTGCCAAGGCAAGCAGTTACCCATGGGATGTATTAATTTTTTAATTGATGTGGGGATGAAGTAACATGCGATTAATGTACTGGTGAAGAAATCATCCCTACAAGTGAATGTCATTTTTACCACATATTCTCCATACTGTTCTCTATACATTTCCTAAGGTGCTGACAAGGAGAATTTGAATAAGAATCGAGAACTTCTTTAGTTGGTGATCATTTCCTGTATTCTTATGACCTTCGGTTATTGTTTGATTCAGGGTTGATATTGTTGTGAGGAGAAAATTGATGGGAATTTCTTCAGCCTTCTTCTCTGTAATTCCTTTAATTGCAGCTCATTTGGAAGGATCATAATCACATCATTAATTTTACGCTGACATGAACCACATTGATCTCCCTACTTCTTCCTCAACTTTGGGGGCATTTTCCTTGTCAGCAAAACGACAGCGACAAGGGAAAGCTTGTACAACCTTCATGTCTAGGAAAAAATATATAAAATTAGATCCTTGAGCAATATGCAAATAAAAATAAAATACAGTACAAAAAAATGAAATCTTGGGTTCGTGTACTGAATAGGTTTCACTTTACAAGAAATTTTGAAAGTCAGTTTTTTTTTCCTCAGAACTGAAAAGCAGTGCATATATTCTTAAATTATTGCATCGCTTTATCTTAAACAAAAGAACAATTATTTTACCACAATTGGCGGATATATGATGATCTGATTGGCTAATTTACCACTGTCTATAGGAGTACAGACAACATTGCTTGGATCAATGTGTCATGCAATGTGTCACACATTGAAAGAATCATTTCAGTTGTTGTCGATGTTGTGGTAACAAACAAATTGACAGTGGTTTAGGATGGTCTGTACTCTTATCAACAATCATATTTGTTGTTGCAGTGGTCAAAATTTGCTGCAGAGTGGATATCGTTTACTGATTTGTTAAATCACTTCCATACAAATCACTTACGGTGTGTCTGTGGGTCAAACTGTCCAGCTAAATATCCCACAACTTCACTGGTTGTAAGATGACAATGATAATCCTGGAAAATATACATAAACGCTTACAGGACATATCTAGCAAAGTCATGCAACACACTGTCTCTAAAGGAAGAGAACAGTTTAATTCATACTACAAATTTCATTCAAGGTAAGGTTAAGTTTTCAATGGTGCATTAGTAGCCCATCCAGCCAGAGTTTATGTGGGTACAGGAGCATGAAATAACCAGGAGTAATTTGCTACTCTCCCTGTAAGGATTGTCCTTTGCAGGACCCCCCCCCCTCTTTCACCAACCATTTTGTCAGCTTTTCCTTGACAGGTTGCCATCACCCATGTATATTCCATTCCTCAATGGGAAGAGGTGTCTCACCCCGGTTGGGGATGTGGACCTCTTACCACTTCTACTCCCAAGATCTGATTGTTAATTCTCCCCTCTAACTGCTACGCATTTTCTTGTGAATTAGTTACTAGAATTTGGAGTTAGATCAAGGTAACAACTTCTATCTGATATTAGAAAAATTGAGTTTCCAGATGGGATTTGAACCCATGACCCACCATGATCTAGTCAGATGCTCTAACCACTGAGCTACAGGAGACTCTATGGTGAGCAAGGGTCAATTAGTGGGTATTGACTGGAACTGCATCAGGCGGCTACACTGCCAAGTATCAGCTAGTGCATAGAAGCTCACTAACAGCATCACACTGTCACATGATGCATGCATCTTCACATGCTCACTTTGGGGGCTGGTTGGCTGCATGTGATGCATTAATGTGACAGTGTGATGCTGTTAGTGAGCTTCTATGCACTAGCTGATGTTTGGCTGTGTAGTCGCGTGATGCGGTTCCAGTCAATACCCACTAATTGACCCTTGCTCACCATAGAGTCTCCTGTAGCTCAGTGGTTAGAGCATCCGACTAGATCACGGAGGGTAGTGGGTTCAAATCCCATCTAGAAACTCGATTTTTCTCTTATATTAAAAATTGTTTATTTCATCTGATAATTAAGTTTGAATATTCTCAATACCTGTTTGCTAGAAAATGTATGGGTATGAAAAGAGAGAAGTTACGTGTTGAAGTCCACCACACTAACTGTTGGGCCACTGCATCACCCCCAAAGTTCAATGCTCCCTACATTTGGCCATGTTTTTTGAGAGTGGACTTTTGCCCATTTATACCCTCCATGAAAGTTAAGTGTATAGTCCAAAAACAACTTGCAGAGCTACATTAAGGTTGAATAATTTCTAACACCTAATATTTCATGAGTGACCCCTGCCCACACACACACACTCACATAAAAGGAAAGTGCTCCAACACTTTCAATCGATGACCCGTTTTTTTGGATGATGAACGAATAGCTCATAGATGCTACATGGATAATTCCACTGCATGAGAATGAAGCATTTGGAATATGATACCCTGGAACTGCCTCATGTACATGAAATGTGCACAGATACACATGAGCCCAGAAGACTTACCATCAGCAAAAGGCAGTTTGTTGAAATATCCACAGAGAATGGCTGCATTTTTCCAGTGGCGCTGAAGTTGACAAGTTCAACCAAAGTGTGTGGATCACTAAGACAAACAAAACAGCCTTGATGAAACTCATGAAGAAATGAATAGAAGGGATAATGAAACTGTGGTGGGGTGGGGGGTGGAGAGGAAACTGTAGAATGGGGAATAGGAAATTGGGGTGATGGGGAAAAAGCATATCGTAAAAGTGTGCTTTGATCGAATAATAATAATAATAATAATAATAATAACTTGTATTTATATAGCGCTCATATCTTAAACTCATGGCGCTTTACAACACTGTACGGGGGACTTTACCAGACTGCTAAGCAGTTTACAATCAAATGAAAGCGAATATAACAGATGCCCCCTCCCCCCTATTCCCAGTAAACAGGCCAGGAGACGGGACCTCCATTTATTCGTCCCTATCCGAGAAGACTAGAATATCTAACCATTTCTTGATCGATGTTATAGAAAGGTAGCATATTCTTCTCAATTATTTTAAGACCCTGAGTGTTGGTCCGGCCGGGGCTCGAACCCTCGACCTCCCGCACAACAGTCCGGCGCTTAACCAATTGAGCTAACCGGGAGGCGGTTAGCTCAATTGGAATAAGTTGAAATAAGTTCACTGTAAAGAGTTTCAAAAGCTGATATTTCAAGCATCAGCCCTTCATTAACTTCTCAAAATGCCAGACTTGTATGCATGAAACAAAGTTTTCAGAAATCGAGAGAATAATTTAGAACATTGAATTACTGGTACCACATCACTATGTTTATAAGCTGTGCTAGAAACTTCTCCTTATTCTGGAACATTCTGTTGATTTATTTTAAGGATATGTCATCATGAGCATCTAGAATGTTCTAACTGCTAAAGATAGTGTTTTAGAAGTAAGTATGATGTAATCAACTACTATAAATAAGGCTGGAGATTGTAAGATTTAGTAAGGTTTTCAGAAGTTTAAGATACCAGTGTAAAGTTATGTCGCAGACCAATTAAGTGTTTTAAATGGAAAACAGGAATCTTCCCTTGGCTTCGTGACAATGTAGGGGTCAATGTTATTAACCTTAACTCCCAAGATCTGATTTTTACTCCTCCCCTTCAGCTGCTACACATTCCTTTGTAATTTAGTTATGAGAATTGGTTATTAGATCAAGGGGTAAAAGTGAAGAACAGTTCCCAAAAGATACTGTCGGCCAACTGTCCGCCGACTGTCAGCTGTCTGTTGCTCAACAGTTTTTGATATGTTGATCAGGCCAAAGTTTCACCTGATAAGTTTGAGTATTCTCATTACCTGTTTGCTGGACAATGTATGGATATTATAGGGAGAAGTTACATGTTCATCACCTCTGGAAGTTAAAGGGTTATGGTAATCATGTAAACATTACTATCCCTTTCTTCACCTTTCAGGAGTCACCATTGTGTGCTTGCTCGACTGCCGAGTTCTAACAGCTGATCGCTTTCTACCTCCTGAGCCTGGTGGAGAAGACAATGGGCTGGGAATGTCTATAAACCAAAAAAGACTTACTTAGTAGTAAATGTTACAAGATGATAAGGATGGGGACTTGAAGCACCATAGTGACAAAAACAACAAAGATGACTCACCCACAGGACTTCGAAGAGAACTTGATGCCAATGACTTTGATGAAGACGTGGGTGTAACTGCAGTTGGCGAAAACAGCGATGGAGATTTTACAGGAGGTGGATGGATGTACCCAATGTTTGGCTTCCTTCTGTAATATTGTAAAATAACAGTAAGACATTAGTTTTTAGTCAGAGCAATTTTTCATTGAGTGTTACAAGATCTGGACTTGTATCACTATGGTCTGTGATTGAACTTGAGTGTAGAAACTCTTGGCACCGTCCCTAACAATCATGTGGAAAACTTCATTTAACCAACAGAATAAGACAAACATGGTAAATTTTGAGCTTGGTAAAGAAATAGAGAAAGATGTTTGTAGAACAAAGCAAAAATTCTGACTCCTTATGAGGAATTGAACCTCAGACCTTCAGATTCAGCCCTCCTCAACCACTGGGTCACAGAGACTCTATAGCTATTAGAGAACAAGGCCCATTACAAATTGAAGTGACTAATTTCTGTAGGTTCCAAACAGACATTTCATGATTTTAAGATGACGCATCTCTAGTCGTTACCAGGCCCAGTGAGTGATCTTGTTCGGCCATGGGTATGATGAATTTTGTTCTGAAGATTGTGAATGTGAATTATCTTCATCCTATTGATTTAGACAAACATTTTTCAGTTATTTTGAGAAGGAACCCTCAGATTGTTTGTAAGTGTTCAACATTTGGATTTATTTGAGCTTTGTATACTTTCATTTCGCTTTATTTTGCTTCGCGTTTGCAAGTTTCGATTGTGTAATTCTACTTTCAGAAACATATTTGTATGCCGTTTATTTCATGAACCTGGATTAAAAGACTCTAAAATTAACCGATCGATTCAGCGGCTACAATTTATTTCTAATTGGCCTGACCCCCTTTTTCCAACACTTGAGGTGGGTTAATAGTTTTTACTTTCATTGATAGGTCTTATGTATACTTTTACATTACCGTAAAAGCGCGTGGATAGGCTGCACCCGCAGATAAGCCGCACCCTGAATTTGGTAGCTCAAATTTTGGAAAAAAAAATTTTTGATAGAAATCAAAAGAAATCCAAAGTCGAGTCTTGAGAAGTCTTCTTCATCCACTGTTCATTGAATGCAAATTCATCATTAACATTGCAATGGAAAATACTTGAAAGTATTCTAGCACTTTAATAATTTATATTGCACATCGTTTCTACCAACTTTGACACATGATTGGTCTTTTTCTGGTATTTGTTGACAGGAATTTCTTCATTCAACACAGTTTTTTCATAGATTTTTGCATTACAACACGAATGTGAGCAGAACACTTGAAGCTTAGTATCGTGAAAATGGACATTCACAACACCTGGGGGAACATTTAATGTTCCTGCAGATAAGCCGCACCCCTTGGAAAAAAGTGCAGATTATCCGCGGGCTTTTACAGTACTTATTGAACCTCATCACTCCCAGGATCTTCTGAGTAATTCTCTTTACTGTCTGCCATACAACTCTAATGATGTTAGTTTGGAGAATTTAGAAGTGGGTCAGCCCTTATTGATATCTCTCCATATTCTCACCTCTTGCCTGCTTGATATCGTAAATGATATGGTAAAGAGAAATTCTGTCTTGGTCACTCAAGAGAGTTAAATGGTTTATAATTATAAGATAAGCATTTCTTGAAAACGATTTTGAAAAATCAGTTCAGAAAACATCATAGCTAGATGTAAAAAGATGTTTTTTTCATCTAGTCACGAGCATAGGACTAGATGAAAAAACATATTTCTGCATTTCTTTACTGAGCTCAAACTAACCACCTTTCTTATTCTTTACATGATAGCTATATGTTGCTGCAGGACCTTTCACGACACTTCAGCCGTTTTATTTAATAATCTACCAAAGGAACTGGAAACCTGTGATGACTGACATATTTTTACATTGTGTTTATTGAAATACTTAAAACACCGGGCGAAGGCACGCCTTTAGTAATTTTAAATTAGTTTAAGACTAGTTTTAAGTGTTTACAGACTAGAATGTTTTGCTATTTTAAATTTAGGATTGTAAATATTAAATAGGTTTAAGTTGATCCTATAATGTATTTAGTTACTGACAAATGAGCCACTCTGTGGAAACACTGTTAATAAACCCTTTACTTACTTACTTACTTATATGTTTAACTATTAGTTTGTCATGCATTCAAGTTAAATAAAAATCACTGTTGAAATATTACATGCATACATATATAACAGGAGTTCTAACTGGAATTGGGCAGTTAATTACTATTACAAACTGCAAGGATAGTACAAGTAGATTATTTCAGTTTCAGTCTCAGACTTTTAAGAAAGTAACGAAGGATGCTAAGAAGCAAAAACAAAAGTCAAAGTCTATAATCAAGCAATTTGGGGCCACTTTCAAAATAGGTAAAAGCTAAAGGGGGTTGATTTTTTTTAAAGTAAAATTGTTGCTAACTTACCCTCTTCCAGAGGGTGTCGCCTGTGTATATGGTGGTTTATAAACGGGTTTTGTACTAGCTGACACAGACTTGATTGACGATGATCCTGGTTCTTTTTGTGTGGAGGGTTTTGCAGGACCAGCTGGTGAGATTGTTGATGATGATGATGATGATGACGTAGACAAGGATGAAGTCAATGATAAGCTGTGTCCATCATTATGACTGCTAGACAGTTTGCCAGATGGTGTCTTTTGTGATGAGGAAGCTGCTGACTGAGTGGTATGAACAGATGACATTTTAGAAGAGGTTGATGTATCTCCATGGGTGGATACCTGTCATGCAACAAAACCACCATGTTACTTAAAATTATAATAACTCATCAAAAAACTTCCAAAAGCTTAAGACAGAATGCAAGTGTCTTGCCAAGAAAGCAGCAATGATGGCAAATGCCAAACAAGTCTTACTGATCTAAACTCTATTCTTAATAAGAATAACCCTGGAGTTAAAAAAGGCAAGTTAGAGTTTTTCCTTTAGTTTGCTGCGATCCTTGCATAGAAAGATCTTGGATCAAAAACTTCAGTCTGGCCCTTAATTCCTCTCTCCGCAAAAACTGCTTTGACCGTTTCACTCTTCATACTTACATGTATAAAAATTATGTAAGTATCAATTCTCAACACTGTTACAATTTACAATTTTAGTTTTGAGAAATCAAACATTGTTCTCCTAGCTGAAATTTTTCCTACTCTTTGTCATCTTTCTGCTTGAAAAGCTGGGTTTTAACTGATACTTACCCCTGGGTTTTGCTTCCTAAACCATGTTGTCTTGAACTGATCCAGCTTTTTACCTTTGTATTTTACCTTGGATAGAAAAACATAGGGGAAAAATTAATTTGATTAAAATTAAAACTAGTGCATGGGTATTATGAAAATGATAACCATATGGGCTTTACACTCACTGTTAGTGTTTCTTCCCAACTTTGTTTCTGTACTATTAGCAATTTGCTCCTTCCTATCATGGCAGAATTAGGTGTTACAGCTGCTGTACATGATATTTTTTAAAACATAGTTGGGAACTTTCTAAAACCCAAATGTGTTAATCAAAGCTTCCTAATGAAAGATTATCATAATTACCTTTATCATGAAAGTTAATTCATTATCATTAACACATGGATTACATCCTCCAAAAGATGAATTTTCTTATCACTTTGCTGAAGAATAGTCGCTTAAAATTCTGAAGAGAAGTTATATGTATCTTCTGCATAGTGTTATAAATCAGCCATTGTAAAACAATTAACTTACAGATGCCCATCCACAGCCAGATTTCTTGGACGGATTCACAAGCCTCTTGCAGTAGATTGCCCAAGCTGAGGGTGAGTTGAACACCTGGTCAGCCTCTGGCCATCTGATTCTACCATCAGGTTGAAGATCGGCTACAAACTTTTGACCCTGAAAATCATAGCAACTTCTTGAGAACAAGGTATAGGGGCACTTATATTGCTGACAAAAGTAGATCATTGTTTATTGTACTACTGGAAATCACTAATAAATAAAAGATATTAATTACAATCACATACAACCTCTACAACAATTGAAAGGTTTCTTGGTCAATTTTGGGAGAACTTGTAAAATAATCATAATATACTGTAACTGATTTTTATGATGACTGCCTTCTGTTTGAATCAGTATACTGATAAAAAATTGTTACTTAATTTTTTTTGTGTGTGTGTTGTTCATGTGCTAATTCATTGACCTAATCCCCAGAATGGCAGTTCCAATCCTCATCCTAGATTTATTAATATCATTATTTATTTATTATCAATATTTATTATTTATTTATCGTTATCATTATTTCAGCATTTCAAGCTGTGACTCTCGATTGTCATGGCCAATACAAAAAAATTTTTGCAACTAAACTGCTTGCGAAAGTCGATAATTTTTAATTTTTTTTGTTTAGTTGTCATATAGCCACCTGTAGTAAGTTGTAACATTTTTATCCATTGATATTGATTATCTCAAGTTTACATGAAATGGTCATTTCCTTAAAATGCCATACATGTTCCATCCTATAATTATGTCTATCAACTCCCAAGATCTCAATAGTAATTCTCTCTACTGTCTGCCATTATATGATTCTTATGATATCAGTTTGAAGAATTTGGTATTGGATCAATTAATTATCTCCTTCTTGATATTTTTCTTTATTCTCATCACTTGTCTGGTTGATATTGTACTGATATTGTAAGGAGAAATTCTGTCTTGGTCATTCATGGGAGTTAAAGGGTTAAAAAAAGATCCTTAGCATCCTTGGTTGTCTAGGAGATGCTGCCCAGACCTCTAAACACCAATTATTCTTCATCTCATATTTTAAAAAATATCCTTTTCCATTATCATCATTATTTGAATTTAGTTAATTTAGAGTTTATTTGGATTTACACACGACCCCACAAGCTGTTCAGCTTTTAAACATTATCGTGTCTAAATAAAGGTGTTATTATCATTATTATTATCATTATTATTATTATTATTATTATTATTATCATGTTTTCTTTTTACATTGTTTTGTTTTTCATTCCCTATCATTGGGCTTCTAGAATTTAGTTCTTGTAACCATTTTATGATCTTGGTTTTCTGAATGGCTATTTTAATAACTTATGAGCTTAGAGGCTTGCCTCTCTCCCATTGGTTCACTTATTTCACACTATTTACATAAAATTAACATAGATAAAAAAGTAAAGTTGTAACAAATGATTACAGAATAAAAATAAATAAAGTACAGATTATAAAAATGTGTGTGGTGCCCAAAGTAGCAAAGGCTTTCTAGTTGGCCACCACCTCCTATTCTTATTGTCCTAACAAATGAAATTTAATCCTTTTGTGAGAACACAATTATCACTCCACTCTGAAAAAATTTAAAAGTAATGCATTGACATGTACATATAGTTGGTAGACTAACCAAGTAGTCGATAGAAAGGCATTTTTCTCCAGGTTCCATTACTCCATCATCAAGCAACATGCCAAGAGTGACACCCCGTCCTGTGAGAACAGATCGCGGCTTCCTTCTTCCCTTAGGTTTAATAGTCTCTTCCGGTGTCTCTGTGTCGTCATCTTCACCTTCATCATCAACATCGTCACCATCTTCTTCGTCCAAGTTGTCTTCCTCCATATCTTCAATTTCATCATCCATTGTCTGAGCTTTAGAAGGGTGGCAAAGGTATTTATACATGATGCTTGACTAAGCCCAAAATTAATATGTGACATGAGAATTTTTACAGAAAGGTAAGATAAGGTGACAGATGAAGCTTTCTCTTTTGAATTTGCATGTGAAATGCTATTAAAGTACACGTGGCCCATGAATTTTTCTAAACATTTGTGCATGAAATGGAATCAGCTCCTCTTCTCTGTTACCCTTCTGTAATGTATATCATGTACAGTTCACTAGATCTTTCTATGATATAGATAGCAGGTTTTTTTCCAAAAACCATTTTGCCAGTTCATAAAATTAAGGTAAGTCTGCCCATAACTCACAAACTTTACGCACATAAAGTCATCTTTTTGATAGTTATACACTTTCAAAGAGAGAACTACAAAATTGAGTCTGTAAACTGTTACATGCAGCAATTTTTCTTCTCTCTCGCGATCCTTACTTATATAATCCATCCGTTTCAAAAGCCACCGTGATAAAATAATGATAAAGGAGAAGTATGAGTCTCATCATAGCTGAGACATACAGCTGGTTTATCAGTTAAAAGTGACACAGCAAGAAATTTACTACACAAAAACACAAGACCAAACACACACACACATACAAAAACAACTTTCTTGCTTTTTTTAGAGGGAAACTTTGATGTTGTGCCTTCTTTTATTCTGAGATGATCTATGGAGTAATCAGAGGTCTTTCGCTAATGACGCTGATGTATTTCACATTTGTTTGGTTCCTTCGAGAGGAGATCATCAAAACCCTCATGAATGCAAATTGTTTATGTAGCAACTTTGGTGAAATATTCGAGGGCTGCTACATCTAGATCGCTTAAGTTGGTGGAAAATTTAAAAGAAGTAAAGTACTTACCCATAACAGCACAGATCACCGCTGAATCAAGCAAAATTTTAATAGAAAAGATTCCAACGATTAGCGAATCCTTTTGAAACAGCGTGCTCGTAAAGGGGTCAACTTTGCCCAGGGAACTAGAGACGAGCGAATGGTTTGTTGCGTCGTGAGGGTAGGAGTGGGGAGGATTTGTAATAAATATTGCGCGGGAATATTTTATGCGGTAACAAGACATTTTCTGAAGGTGGGCTTCTTTCTTCTTCGTAAAAGTGCTGCTTCCAAATCGACCATTTATACTCTAGTTTCCACAGTTTTTCACCTCGCTTTTAATTTTTAATCCAGACCTGACTTGGTTCAGGTCCGCTAGGTTTTATTTGCAAGCCCGAAAGACGACTTTGTTGCCCTGAATTTGGTAGACGTGTGAAGCGTGTGAAGCCGATAACGTCGAAAAGGTAAGAACAGGCAAACAAAGTTATATTTTGCGAAATGATTAGAAATTGAAAACTTATGGGAAAGATTTCCGTATAACCCCATATTAATAAAAAACAAAGCCATAATCCTATTAGGGTAATCTGTTGTTTTGCCTCTGCTTTCTTTTTCCAGGAATTGTATGCATAATGACGGAAATCTTGCCCTGCCTTGATCTAAATAAATCTCAAGAATCGTCAAACCTGGGATCGGGCCTGGGAGAGTTTCATGAGATACCAAATTTGGGAGCGTAATAACGAATGTTTGCAGACTGCAGACTGTAAATTGACGGACACCGACTGTGGACCGATAAAACAGAAAACACACGCGTTACTGTGCAAATATTTTTAATGTATGTACACCACGAACTGCGAAAATTTGCTCTTTTTACTTTATGAATAAATATTCTGACTGTCACCCCAGGTAAGGTAGACTTTACAGAAAGAGTACATTTACATTTAAGGTAGCTTTGGTGTCCAATTCAATTTTAAAGCTTTTCACAGTCAAGAATGCCAAGAGGTTCTGTTCTGTAAATTTTGACAGCAACAACTGATCATGGCAAATTGCAGTTGTTCACTTTGTGAAGTTATGCTGTCTAATTTCATTTTGTGTGAAGATTAATATTCAAATATACTTTAAATAGCTGACATTGATGCAGACGTTGAAATGACTTCATATTCATAATTATACTGAAAATAGACTCTCTTAATCCACAGTAAGTGAAGTAAAATAAACAGTGGAAGAGACAGTTTTCCCTTTGTTTCTCTCTGTTTCCCTCAAAGTTCATCATGTTGGCGGAGGTGTTGATACATTTTGCGTTCAAATGTGGGGTCATGTTCTTTAGCACTGTAAAACTTGTGCAAGACTTTTGAAATGCGTCCTTCACTATCTGCTACAGCACTGTCTTTATTATGTGCTCCAAGGCTTACCACAATCTAAACTCAAAAGAGAGAATCACTGGTATTAAAAAAAATTCACAATTACAATTCTGTAAATGCTCCTTAATTATTGTCTAAAATTTGCGATGAAGAAGTAGCCTGCATGTACAAGAAGATCAGTACATGAATTTGTGAGGTCCATAGCTTAGGTAACTGAATTGTTATTCTTCAGTAAGCTTTTGAGAGACTTTATTCTTATAGTGATATGGCCTCTCTCTCCCTACTGGAATTTATGATGACATGGTGTTGAGTAAATACCTGTAAAATTATTATCTCAAAGGGATGAGAAAAAATTTTTGCATTAAAACAGTTTCATACTGCAGAAACCAGGATTAGGTCTACAAATTTAGACCTTTGTTGTCCACTTGACCTGGCAAAGATTTCACTTTTAACCATCTATATTTATAATAGTTGTGAGTCCACTGGATAATTTCTCCATGAGAAAACAATGCTTTAATTACACAAGTCATGTCTTAAACCTCATCTGGCTTTACAAGAAGGGAACCAAGGGAGTAAGTTGGAACTGCTTAGGGGTATTTACAGGTATAATAAAATCACACATTGAATGAACCCCTAATTCTTTGATCAATCCTATACTCAAAGATGAATTATTGGGCGTTTTAAGGGTGTACAAAACCTCCTCTATTATAATTCATCTTGGTATGCTTCTAAATTCTATCAACTTAGAGGCAGATGTTGGAATCTCTTATAGAGAGGTCCTTTTTATATCCCCTCAGAGCCCATTTTTTTTTTACACATGCTACACCAACGTAAGCCATCACTGAACCTCTTAATGTAACAAATTAATTTAATTTAATTTAGTCCATTTTCACTGCATTAAGTTTTGCAGTGGGGAAGGACTAGAAAGGAACATAGGAACCATTCGTGCTAGTCCACCCTTCCACCCATCCCACCCCAGGGGAGAACATCCATCACACAGTAATTTCGTGTGTGGGAAATTAACGTCTCCTACCCCAACCTTGCAGGAGACAGGACCTCCATTTATTCATCCCTATCCGAGAAGACTAGAATATCTAACCATTTCTTGATGTTATAGAAAGGTAGCAAATTCTTCTCAATTATTTTAAGACCCTGAGTGTTGGTCCGGCCAGGGCTTGAACCCGCGACCTCCCACACAACAGTCCAGCGCTCTATCCATTGAGCTAACTGGGAGGCGGTTGATGACTGCACCACACATGCAAAGCATAAGTGCATTACCTCTGCAGCTTTAGTGGGAGTTCCTCCAAGACCCTTTAAAAACAAATGGCAAGAAAAGTGTTAACGGCATTCCCTGAAAAGAAGGGACAAAACAGTGGCACACGAATAAGAGTTACATGATTCTGTTAAAAAATAAGGCAGCATGGCTGAGCAGTCAGCAACTCACTCGTGCAATCCATGGGTTGCAAGTTTGAGTAATGCTCGAACCATAAACTCAGAAGCTGCTTCTTGGAAGTCTCAAGTTTAACATATATCATTGTATTAGTCCATAGCATTATGCCCGCATGGTTTATTTAAGCCTATTTGAGACAAGTAGCAGATTTGATGAAATTTTGTCAAAATTGTCAAATCTGCTAAACTGATTTTGCTTGGACAATATTCCGTCAAATTGTCAAATCTGCTATGCTGATTTTGCTTTGACTAATTTGTCTAAAAATTCATCAAAATTATCAATTTCACCAAGCTGATTTTACGTATAGACTAAACAAATTTGACTAAAAATTCTTCAACTTTATAAACATTCAGTTGGTTTGAAGAAAGTTAATCAAATCTGCCATTTTCATTACTACATGCATCCTGAACACAAGTGATTTTGTGGAGAACACATTGAAGTGTTTAATTAATTGCTCTTCCCATAATAAAAAAAATATTCACAAATTTATACATATACTCGTATATTATGTACCAGTAACATTTCATTTCTTTACTTGAAACACTACCAACTTGCTTTATACCTCTCTAAATATTAACTTTTGTTTGATTTTTTCTCTTATTTTCCTTTTTTTGTGGGGGAACTAGCTTACATGTAAAAAACTAAAGCAAACATTTTCAAATAGAACAGCTGTCAACCATATCAACTAAGCTATACTCCAAGAATATTTTTAAAAAGTTGCTTTAAATTCTTACCTGTACATAGCTTGAAATAAACTTTTCCTTGTCAAAGATTCCTCTCTTATCCTGACACTTTGCTACCAAATCCCTGTAAATTACAGTATTGGTCATTGAAAATTAGTGAATTTTCCCTACATTTCCTGGGCCACGTGGTGTAAGGAACAAATTTTGCTATTGCATAAATAGCCCTATCTACTGCGAAGGATCGTGCATCATACGTATTTCATACCGCAGTTCAAAATATATGAACTTCATATATTCATTGTATCTGATTTATCATCACGGGTTTATTACGAATCAACTTAACGGCCTGCTCCCAGTTGGCTTGTTAGCTCAATTGGTAGAGCGCTGCACTAGTATCGCAGAGGTCAGTGGTTCGAATCCTGTACAGGCCTGATTTTTTTCAGGTCTGATTTTCGCTATTGTATAAATAGTGCTATCTACTGTGAAGGATCGTGCATCAAACAAATTTAATATTGTCAATTGAAAATAGTTGATAATGTTTTAAAATGATGTAGAATAACATTTTAAAAACAACTGAATAAAAAGAGAAAGGTTAGCAAAACACACCCACTGATTACTTACTCTATATAAGGAGCATGAATGTGACTATATTCAAAGTCTTCAGTGTTGGAAACATCATTAGGATCAATAAATAACAACAGTTCTTTTAACTGATAAATGGTCAGATTCTCTATATATCCATGTGTCACAAAACCTTTATGATCATGGTCAAGGTATTCAACCAACTGAAAAGGAAGATGAAATAAAAGATGTACAGGAAAGCCTTCCTTTTAATGATCCATTTGCCATTAGTTACTTTAACTGCAAAGGTTGGAAAAAAATAATAAATCAAACAACCCTACTGCTACTTTTGGCACTGTAACCACTAAGATTTCCCTAGCTAGCCAAGGGCATATTACCAGATTGCAAATGTTTGTGACTATTTATAGAGGGAAGAATTTAAAGATTAGGTATGAAAAAGCTTATGCCAAAAAATTAATTAAGGCTTCAGAAATTTTGAGAAGTATTTCGACAGAAATGTTAACTAAAGGAATGAAAAGTATGACATTTACTCACTTATTATTGCAAGGGGTGGCGAGGGGGCTGGTATAAAAGAAGGGTGGAACAAATTTGGAAAATATTGCAGACCTTGTTGTGTAAAATAATAAGTTGATATGCCATGCAGCTAAAAATAATCAGACATTAATTTCTTGGCTAAAAATGTAGTGAAATTACACTTAGTAATTAAGGAATCTGTTTGCTACCTTTTTTGCTCTCTCTTGTTCATCTTTTCTCATCACGTCTTTCCTTCTACTTTCACTCTGAAAGTATTTTTGTACAAACTCTTTGAGCCAAATCTTTCCCTCATTATCAGCTAAAGTTAGCAGAAAGCGTTTCAGAATGTAGATGTCCATATGGCCTTGACTAAGATCCCCATAACCAGAGTACCGCCATAACACCATTACCTCATTCATGGGTGTAAAGGAAATATTCCCTTCATCACAGTCTTTCTCTGCAAACTGTTTTAACTGTGAGAACCAAATAGATACAGCAGAATTCATGTAGCCCCAGGAACGCACTTGATGCCAGTAGCCTAAGAAGCAAAGATCACAAATGCTAAGTGTATACCATTATCAAAGTATCTACATTTTGTCTACTGTAGACTAACTGTGAACTCTGAAAAAAATTTTGCCTAAATTATATAACATCTTTACGTATTACTGAATCATCTGGCTCCGGTTGTTTAAAGGGCGAATAATGCTATCCAACAGATAAATCGCTATCCAGCGGATAAGTGTTACCAAAACGAACAGCGCTATCCAGCGGATAAGTGTTACCAAAACGTACAGCACTATCCAGCGGATAGAGATTTATCCAGTGTATAGTGTTATCCATCCTTTGAACAACCGGGGCCAGGATTGTACTTTATCCACACCACAGACAATGCTAAATGACTTATTAATTATAATACAGGGTTCTCCCTAGTTTTCAGCACAACAGGTAAGGGACATGTTCAAACCGGTAAAGCAATTGGTTAATGTTGGACGTTCCGCAAAGGATAAGCAACAATATGGAGAACCCTGTAATAGATTGTTAGCAAGATGATAATAATAAACCATGCAGTCTTGCCTCATTTACATGTGATGTCAAGCACTTCTTTAAAATGTTGTGTCTTAAACTTTCTTTAAAAAGTAAAACTCAACTTAAAGGATATCCACTCTTGCCTATGAAAATTTGCTGAACACCATGCAATGCTTACCTCCTGGCATGAAGATACAGTCGCCCTTATTCATTCTGACCTTGGAGTAATGTACATCTTTAATCTTTGGAAATTCTTTTAAGTCAACAGAGTCAATGTCTATCTCTGAATATCCACCCCATTCATATTTGGAATCATCAGACATGTAAACAAGATTTGTTTGATCAGGATGAACAAGAATCCAGTCTTTGGTGCCATTAAAAATACAATGTATATTGCTGTATGGATCCTGATGTAATTTTGTTTTGCCGCCACGAGCACTGAGAAATAGGTGGACCTCTTGAATAGCTTCAGACAAGGAACCACATCTGAAATAGTGTTAAGTTTTCAAAGGGCAATTTAGAATTTGTATTTTTTTTTAGTAGGGTCAAAGTTTTGCATGGGAATAAAGTTTTCCTAATTGGATGCTGATAAATTTTAAGGTTCATTGGCATTTCCCTTACACCTGTTATAATGTTTCTGGGTACTGTCTGAGTATGTACACTATCTTGCAGAAGAACATCATACAATCATCTTAAGAGAGCTGGTCTGAGGACTTTTGATTTCAAGGATGGCATGCTACTATTATAGCCCACATCTGTGGCAGATCCATCTGTGTGTGTACACCTGCCTGCTTTTCTTCCCTGTGATTGTTATTTTTACTCAAATAAGGGGGAGAGCAGGCTCCCTGGGCCCCATTCCCAAGATCCACCACTGTCTATATAGCTACTGAGCTAGAATTGTAAGAGAATGACCTTTGAAGTTAAACATTTGGTGTGAATTAATTAACAGGCTTTTTATCATTGACTGGAGCCAACAAGGTATAGTCCACAGTTGAACACAGACTGAAGCCATAGTATACACTCAGTCAACTCTCCACTAAAAACACTCTTGTGAACAGACAGTTCTACCTAAGGGCACTTTTTTCGTACCAGGGCTTTGCCTCCCACTCAAATAATGTGAGTCAGTTACACATTTCTGTAAGTGGATTTTCTTTTGTTTATATATGCTCTCTTGTAAGCTGACACCCCATGCACAAATGTTGATTCTTGGCAATATAATCTGTGTTGAATTTGTAAATCTAGAAAAATATGACCTTCGATAGAGCAACTACAGAAGGGATCAGTTAAGTTGAATCTCCATTTGTCAGCAGGATTTAAGCATGCTGTCCTCCATTTGACATCAACAAGATTCCACCATAACACTCTCTTGTAAGCTGACATCTACTCTACATTTCTTAGGTGTCTCTTTATGGAAATAATTCCTGTAAATAGGTGCTTTTCCTAATTCTAGTGGATGTCCACGTACTAGAGAATTGACTGCACAATCATATGTATTATGTTAAACCTTAAACATGGAGGTATTCCTATGTCTTTTTCCATTGGCTGTGGAATCTGGGAGATCACATAAGCATCCATAGTTTGATAATTCTGTATAAAATGCTTTATGGTGTCTCTGCCAAGAATCCCTGCTGACCCAACTGGTACACGGTCATTTGCTTCAGCTCTTGCTTCAAGACGTACAGTGAGGTCTCCATACTCTGAGCTTAAAAACTCTTCTGTCCACAATTCATAAGCCCTTATGATAAAATTAAAACAAAGCAAACTATGTGATACCAGAATAACTTGAACAAAAATTTTTCTGTCTGTCTAACTTCTGAGATTTTCTAAATACCTTAAAGCAGGTGAGACATCCATGCTTACTCTCCTAATGGAAAATGACAATCCCTCTTCAAATTCAAACTCAGTAAAATAAAAAGACTTGCAAAGTAATCATCACACTTGGATAAATAAAACAGCTGCTGAATTGATTAACACCCTCTCCATTACGAACAGATACTGTTTTCATCATAAGTAGTATAAAAATACACCTGTTCTCCAAGTTTTGTTAACTACAATTCCCTTTGAAACATATCAAAGACGGGAGAAAGTTCTCTTACACCTGTTATATTTACCTCATATTCAAACTTGGTATATAAGAAATTGTACAGTTATGATGCTTGCATTACATCCATCTTGAAATCACAGGTGATCCTTGTAATCTGATTGGCTCTCACTGTTGCGATTTATTCCAAAATTGCACTATTTTTGCCCTACAGCGCATCTTTTTTGGAGGCTTTACTACAACAACCAATTGCTTGTTAAAAATTTAGCAACCAATCAAATTGCAGGAAAATGAAAAACAACTTTTGCCACTTTTTAAAAAC